CATTCTTGTTGCCCAGGCTGGAGTGCAATGGCGTGATCTCGGCTCACTGCAACCTCCACTCCCGGGTTCAAGTGATTCTCCTGCCTCAGCCTCCTGAGTAGCTGGGATTACAGACACACACCACCACCCCCAGCTAAATTTTTGTGTTTTTAGTAGAGGTGGGACTTCATCTTGTTGGCCAGGCTGGTCTCAACTTCCTGACCTCAGGTGATCCACCCTCCTCGGCCTGCCAGAGTGCTGGGATTACAGATGTGAGCCTCTGCGCCAGGCCACTCCAGAATAATTTGATCTGGGACTTCTGTAACACATCTTTATATTTCATTCAAGGCTTATTCTTTATTAGATATCTTTAAAAAAGTATTTTAGGAGTTTCATACCTACCATTCTGCAATAAATAATACGTAATATACTAAAACTGAGAAAATCTTATAAACAGCGCTATGGTTACAGGTATTCTCTTGGGGTTCATGAAGTAGTAAATTTCATCCATGTGGATCAAAAGACTATACAATTAAGCCCTGCTTGAAACAACTTGTTTCTCTGGGTAAACTGGAAGAAAGGAATCCAAATTATCTGGATATTTGCTTCCAGGATGGATTTTAAATTGTCTGTAGAAATACAGACTTTTAGTCTTCCCAGTTAGAAGCAAATTTTTAACTGAATTAGCTGGATAATTATTTCTTACTAGAAAAGTCATAAATGTCTAGACTTTGGGTGTTGTTTCAAAACAACTTTTTAATTCTTTTTTGTATATTAGAATGTTCAGTTAAAACTGTGCCATGCCCATTTCTCCCAAACCTTACTTCATTTCTCTGACTCTCATCTCTATGAAAGAAAGAACAGTAGAATAGACTCTTTGGGAATAAAGGCTGGTATCTATGATTTGAATATGAGGAGAGGAAATTAGGAAAGGCAGAAAAATGTGTTACCTCATCCAGATGCTGACTTTGTTATCTGAATTTTCTAGCTTGACAAACAAAAGTACCCCCCTGTTGGTACCTGGGACAGCAAAGAACACCTTTCACAGGCTGCTGGGATTCTAACAGATGGAATTAAGGCAATCCAGAAAAAATTCCCCATGTGGAGTGTTGCTCAGCACCTCAAAGGTAGGCCGTATTCTAAGTACTGTGTTTAAATGAGCAATGAATGAGACCACTGAAGTGCGACCCAAGACTCCTTGGGAGCATTTCCACAGGGTCAGCAGTGGGCTTGGGAGGAGATGTCTAGAGGCTGCATTTGCATTCTCTGAACCACTGAATTACTTTGAGTGGCCCTCCATCCCCAACCTCCATTCCCCCTTCTGCAGAATGTTGGGGTTCTTATTCATTGCTTATTGAGCCATTGAATGATACCTTGAAACATAGTGAGACCCTGTTTCTACCAAAAAAAAAAAAA